GTTACACGCATTGCGTCCATCAGCCAGTAACATCCACGTTTCAGTATAATCCACAGCATTGAAATCAACGGAGCCTAGGCCATACTGGGACGATATCCCAGTTTTCTTTGTACCTAATATGTATGCGTGTTTTTTGTGTTGGTCATCAGTTATGCACATCGTCAGGACGTCTCAATAGCGTTGGACGAGCCATGACGCCACTCAGTCGGGCCATGTATTCAGCCATGACGCCACTCAGTCGGACCATGTGTTCAGCTGTGACGCTACTCAGTCGGGTCATGTATTCAGCAGTGACGCTACCCAGTCGGGCCATGTATCCAGCTGTGACGCTACCCAGTCGGGTCATGTATTCAGCCATGGCGCCACTCAGTCGGGCCATGTATTCAGCTATGACGCTACACAGTCGGGTCATGTACTCAGCTGTGACGCCACTCAGTCGGGCCATGTACTCAGTAGTGGCGCCACACAGTCGGGCCATGTACTCAGCTGTGACGCTACCCAGTCGTGTTATGCATTCAGCTGTGACTGCCACCCAGTCGGGTCATGTATTCAACTGTGATGCCACTCAGTCGGGCCATGTACTCAACTGTGACGCTACCCAGTCGGGCCATGTATTGAACTGTAACGCCACTCAGTCCTGTCATGTATTGAACTGTGACGCCACTCAATCGGGCCATGTACTCAACTGTGACATCACTCAGTCGGGTCATGTACTCAGCTGTGACGCTACCCAGTGGGGTCATATACTCAGTCATGGCGCCACCCAGTCGTGTTATGTATTCAGCTGTGGCGCTACCCAGTCGGGTCATGTATTCAACTGTGATGCCACTCAGTCGGGCCATGTACTCAACTGTGACGTTACTCAGTCGGGTCATGTATTCAACTGTGACGCCACTCAGTCGGGCCACGTACTCAACTGTGACGTCACTCAGTCGGGCCATGTACTCAGCTGTGACGCCACCCAGTCCGGTCATTTACTCAGCTGTAATCCAGGGCAGTCGAACCTGGAAGAGAGTAAAGCATAACGATACTGGAAGCGTGTATCCACTCTATTTGCTTTACGCCACTGACATATCGGCCAAGTTTTCTTTGAAACAGCTCTAGCACTTTGAAAAATGTCAATATTTCGAATGAGCAGGTGTGATTGTTTTCCAGTTATCATTGCTAGCTTAATAGTGTTGTCTTTCGTATGCTTAAATTTTAGATTTTTGAAAGTATTTTTTAAAGTCATCTCAACATTGAAGTTTTGTTTAATAAAGTGATTGATTGCCTCATTTCTTAAACTAGATTTGAAATAACTCACCCATGATGATTCAGTAGAACATAAGAGTTGGGACCGATATAACAGGTTATGATATCCGGTCCATTGTGTAGTCCAGCATCCTGGATGAGAAAGTAAGGTAAAAAATATGATGGAAATGAATATGAAGTGCACTGCAGAAATATTACAATGTATAATGTGAACATAATTGATGAGTAATAATCGTTTCCCGTGTGATGCTTTGATCTGGGCGCCTAAGCAGTACTGTACACTGGGCCATCGGCCCGCGGGACCCTCTCCCACCAGGGGAGCGTGATGAATGCGGGGTCTCACGCCAAGCGCCATCATTTGGTCTTCCCTGACTGCCGGCAGAGTAGTTGTTGCACTGGATTGTTTATCATTGCCAGCCCAAGCTACTGCTCGCCTTTCGGCATTTCCAGCAGTGCGCCATAAATGAAGAATGCTAGGTCATCCATACATTGGTTTGTTGGTTTTCTGGGCCAGCTGTAGTCTTCCCGAGACTGATGCTGCGGCAGCTTGTGATGTCTCCGCGTCCCGCGTGTTGCCAGGATTTGGATCTGTCCCACCGCACTGCTCTCTCTCCCTGCCCAGCTGACGAGCGGGTTCGCGCGCTTGTGCTCGAGCGGTCTCTTCTGCTGCAGTGGCGTCATCTCGCTGCGGCGTCGCCTCGCGCGCCACCCGCGGAGCTCGCTCGTCAGTGCGCCGCTGGTGCTCGTTTCAGCTCCAGGCGGAGCTCGCTCGTCAGCGCGCCGCTGGTGCTCGTTTCAGCTCCAGGCGGAGCTCGCTCGTCAGTGCGCCGCTGGTGCTCGTTTCAGCTCCAGGCGGAGCTCGCTCGTCAGCGCGCCGCTGGTGCTCGTTTCAGCTCCAGGCCGACTCGGAGATGCACGCGGCCGTGCAAGCGGCGGCGAACTCGGACGACGAGGACGACTACTCGTGACCGGGCCTGACGCCGGGGCTCGGCGGAGGTGCGGCGTCGCCGCCGGCCAGCCCGGCCCGGCCCGACTCGGCCCGACTCGGCCCGACTTGCGGCCCAGCTCGCCGCGTACCCGCCCGCCGTACATGAGGTTACCATTGGGCCGAAGGCTGTGCTAAGCGGGCTTGTCTTTGTGCCAGGCCGGTTCGCCATCACGCGCACTGTGTCATCGTCGTGGGCATCAGAGATTGCGACAGCGATGTGGCAGTCTTCACGGGGTGGGGGAGGGTTAACTGGCTACAGTAGTCAGCCGTCGGCGGTGTCTGATGTTCGCCGGACAACCGGGACGTCCGTGTGCCGTCCAGATGGTGTGTGTGTGTGTGTGTGTGTGTGTATAGATTATAGAGTCCATCGTCTCATGCCCTCTTGCCTGCTGGTGAACACATCGCTCACATTCTCGGCGTGTGCCGGGCCTTGGTGATGAACAGCAACCGCAACACTTATGTACATTTCCACGAGAAATACACAATTTTGATTCCAAAGCTATCCTGACAAAAATCCATGCGCGTGGCGTGATATTTGAGACCGTACAATCCAGCGCCACCATGAACTGGCGCCGCCGGGCGTGGCCGAAGAGGGCAGGCTGGGCCGGCCGGCTGGAGTACGGCGAACCATCGCTGGTCCGAGCCTTGGCTCCTGCACTGACCGCGGCCGGTGTGGGCCGTAACCCCTACACTGACTGTGGCCGATCTGGGCCCTGACCCGTGCACTGTACGCGGCCGGTCCGGGTCCTGACCTGTCCACTGACCGCGGCAGGTCTGGGCCCTGACCCGTACACTGACTGCGGCCGGCCGGGCCCTAACCCACACACTGACTGCCACTGTCTGGGCGTGGACCCGTACACTGCGGCAGGTCTGGGCCCTAACCCCACCACTGATTGCACCGGTCTGGGCCGTGGACCCGTACACTGACCGCGGCAGGTCTGGGCCCTAACCTCTATACTGACTGCCACCGGTCTGGGCGTGGACCCGTACACTGCGGCAGGTCTGGGCCCTAACCTCTATACTGACTGCTACCGGTCTGGGCGTGGACCCGTACACTGCGGCAGGTCTGGGCCCTAACCCCTACACTGATTGCCACCGGTCGGGCGTGGACCCGTACACTGACTGCGGCAGGTCTGGGCCCAACCCCCACACTGATTGCCACCGGTCTGGGCGTGGACCCGTACACTGACTGCGACAGGTCTGGCCCTAACCCCCACTGATTGCCACCGGTCTGGGCCCTAACCCCTACACTGACTGCCACCGGTCTGAGCGTGGACCCCTACACTGACTGCCACCGGTCTGGGCCCTAACCCCTACACTGATCACGGCCGATCTGGGCCCTAACCCCTACACTGACTGCGGCCGGTCTGGGCGTGGACCCCTGTTCGACCCACCACACGGCTATCGATCAGTGACCGTCATTACAGGCCTGGGAACGTCGCACTGCTGGGCCTGCTCGACCACTGATTTGCACCGACAGAATGGCCCGCGGGGCATGTGGACGCTTGAGCAGGGGGAGGGAAATGTCACATGATTAGGGCGTTGGGGCCTCGCCTCCCACGTGCAATTCGACGGCATCTTCACGATTGATCGATTGGTATGGATGATGGATCCATAGGGCGGCTCATCCAGCTATGCACACGAATGCCAGGATCGTTCAAGAATGTCAAAATGCGCTGAGTTCGGCGTCCAGGAAGCCCTGGGCGATGGAGCAGCTGTGCACCTCAAACCGCGCCCGACCGGCCGGCGACAGCTTCGGTTGCCAGCCGGGGTTTTTGAGAATCTCGAAAACTTTGCGTGCCGTAAGAACTGGGGAAGTCGGACAATTATTTTTGTGTGGTGATGAAATCTTGATTTGCTCTACATTCAGGTCAGTCGGCGCTTGGTCTCTAAATGCCATAATAGGTAAAAAGTTACGTAGCATCGTTCACTAGGAATGGTTGGTTGATAGTGATTTTTACGGTGAAGGATGGGTTTCATTTTGGAAGAAGAGTCATCATCACATCATCACATCAGTCATCACTCAGAAGAACATTTCGTTGTTTTGCAAACTTATTACAGCCCGATCATCCCGTTGAGCACTGTCAGCGTTCGACGCGTTGCTGTGCGTTGGGTAGAAAACGGCCACGTTAGTATCCATGTCTAGGAGCTGTGACCGCCGTTTGGTGTGGCGTTGTACGCTGGCGAGTGTCTGCTGTCGTCGCCCAGCGTAGTGACCAAACTACTGTACACGGTACCGCTAGTTGGAAAATTGCCGTCTTTACCAGTCGTCAGGGCGGTCTGCAATGTTGTCTGCCGCCATTTGGAGGCATGACGACCTTCTTTTTTTTTTAGATACAAACATGGTTAGAGGTAAGCGGTATTTTCTACTCACTCTACCGGGTAACTAGGCTTCGAAGTCAATTTTAAGACCACAGTACGATCGATGAGCGTTTTGAATTCTGCGGTTTGACTTTGGTTCACACCAGCGCTGAGTTATCTGCAAGCGCAACTGAGCGAGGAGAATGGTGACTCGCATGACAATGTGCCTGCGCAGTCCCATCGGGCGAGAGAACACAACAATTTATGGAAGCCACGGACATTGGCTCAAATGTGGCGAGGTCAAAGGCGTTCCATCGGCACAGTGTCTTCCGGACGATCACTCTCTGTCGTCTAATTTCCAATAAAGGAAAAGCATACGCGACGTATGGCCGAAACACTTAGCTTGAACGGCATCAGTACGTGAACTACGTTCTGGAGTTACCGGCTTGGCATCGACGAGTGACAAGGCCAACGAATCGGGTTTATTATTCAGCGTTTGCGATCTTCGGTTCCTGGCAGCGTGAACTACCGACAACGATCAGGTAAATATATGAAAACATTCACGGGCGGGCAGGCACAGTGCCTGGCGGTGGATGTGGATTTACTTCGTTCCGTGCATGGATACCGTGCCTTAACCTGTGCCGGCCGTCTGCATTTGTGGCTTGCATAGCGTGCCGTTAGCTGCCAAGCCATATAATCAAAACGCTCACCTGATTGCCATTCCAAACATCACGTCTTACAAACGGTAATGCACTCCATATCCACAGAAATACAGTAGGCGAACAAGACGTCCCTGGACGGCAGATGGACGGAATCGAGTGGTACGCTTCCACTGGGCCTGGCACACGACAACTTAGTCAAGCACGCGCACTGACACACCAAACATAGATGTTGTGATGAGGTCCGGGTAGACCTCCGCTGACGGCATCGCCGGCCGACCCAGGACAGGTACCGACAACATCTTTAGCTCGCCAGAGGCCCCCAACCGCCGGTGGGTGACGCCTGGTCTCAGCCTGAGAAAGTGTGCACTCCAGCGAGGCTAGGCGACGACTCGACCAGAGTACGACTCCCGTGCCCGCGACGGGAGATTGTGCTAAACTTCCGGGCCCGCGACGGGAGGCGGTGCCAGACTTCCGACTCCGCAGCGGGAGGTGGTGCCAGACTTCCGAATCTGCGACGGGAGGCGGTGCCAGACTTCCGACTCCGCAACGGGAGATGGTGCTAGACTTCCGAACCTGCGACGGGAGGCGGTGCTAGACTTCCGAACCCGCGACGGGAGGCGGTGCTGGACTCCCGAACCCGCGACGGGGGATGGGGCATGACTCCCGAACTCGCGACGGGGGATGGGGCATGACTCCCGAACCCGCAACGAGGGACGCTGCTAGACTTCCAAGCCCGCGACGGGGGGAGGGGTCGGTGCGAGGCTTCCAGACATGCGACGGGAGGCGATGCCAGACTTCCGATCCCGTAACGGGAGGCTGTGCTAGACTCCCGAACTCGCGACGGGGGATGGGGCATGACTCCCGAACCCGCGACGAGGGACGTTGCTAGACTTCCAAACCCGCGACGGGGGAGGGGGTCGGTGCGAGACTTCCAGACATGCGACGGGAGCCGGTGCCAGACTTCCGAACCCGCGTTGGGAGACGGTGCTGGACTCCTGCACCCGCGACGGGAGGCGGTGCTGGACTCCCGCACCCGCGACGGGAGGCGGTGCCAGACTTCCGAACCCGCGTTGGGAGACGGTGCTAGACTCCCGCACCCGCGACGGGAGGCGGTGCTGGGCCTCTGGGCACGCCGCGGGGTATCTTTAGATACCGGCAGCAAGCAGCAGCTACTGCGGTTTGATGAAGCCGTCGCTGGACTTGAGACTGGCGTAGCTGGTGGTGCTCACAGCGCTGCCGGGCACGGCCGTCTTCTCATGCATCTCGGCCGCCAGTCGGGTGACGTGCGCGATGTCTGGCCGCCCGGCCGGGTCCGGCGTCAGGCACTGGTCCACCAGACTCCTGAACTGCAACGGCGCCCGGCACGGCGTCATCAGAGGGTTGTCAGCCACGGCTCCGCCAGACTCCTGAGCTGCGGAAGAACGACTGGCGCTCGGCGTTAATGGGGGTCAGGTACTGCTCCGGCAGACTGCTGAACTGATGTAGCTATGCACTGTGCTAGTGGAAATACAGGCCCTGGTCCACCAAGTCAGCTTCGGGAACGAACGGTAAATGATGTTAACGTGGCGCTCATCTGACATGTTCCTAAACGGATCAACGGCGTGCAAAGTAATGTCATTGTGTCTGACACCATTGATCCATAAGTTACCCGAACTGAGGCAGTGGACGACGCACGTCAATGAGATGCCATCGTTCCAGTAGTTTCCCAAACTGCGGAGTGGAAAACATATGTGCGAAGAGCGGTCTGAGAGTCCGGCCGGTGGCAATGATAATGACGACTGTCGTCAAGTCTGCCCACCAGCCCATCAGCTGAAGTAAACCAACGGATGGTGCTGGCGTTACAGTGGTGAGGGGGGGGGGGGGCTGCTGGACGCCGCCGGCCGGCCGCCACTATAGAGGCCACTGCACGCTCTCCATTCAGCGGCACTGCCCCGCTGCTGAAGTAGCCGAAGAGGCCGGAATCGCTCATTCACTGGGTCGCAGAAGCTCGCGTTCGGCCCGTGTGAAATGGCGTCACAGAAAACATGGCGGCCGTTCAAACCACACCATCGCTAGCCACCAGGCACATGCCAGCGCGGCCGCAACCATCTTTCCCACTGTTGACATGGAGGCGGCATTTAGTGCCGAGTGAAGCCGTAATGGTCCGCTTAGTGAGCTTCCAAAAGCGCTCCTGACAATAAAGGGAGCATGGAAGGCACTTTTCTCTGCGTGGTTTTCATTGTTGTGGGATAAGTGGTGGGCATGTACTCGGCTATAAATTCGGTCGCGCATGGCGTGGGTGGGGGTGGGGAGTTGGATGGCACTAACCGAAGCTTAACAGAGGAAGGAACGTTTGAACCCCGTCATTTTATGCTCAGATGTGATTGCATATCGCGCTTACAGTTCTCAAAATGCTTTAAAACGCTAGGTCTGCGTACTGTTGTCAAGCTCTCATCTCAGTTGGAGGTTAAGCGGACATCACCTTTTTGAGACGTTACGCTTGGCATGCCGTTATCAAAGGAAGGGGGTTTCGCCCAGCGTAATCAGTACGTAACCAGGGAAGGAGTAAAAAGTGATCAAAAGTACGTGCAATTTATATTCAGCAAAACTGGTCTGCCTACGCTGAGCAGCCCGCCACCGGTATTAGCTCAGTCAGACGCTGAGCACCCCGCCACCGGTATTAGCTCAGTCAGGTTGCCTGACGCGAAAGAGCAAGGGACAGCATCTTTAAAGTAGGTTCTCATAAGCGTTTAATTATAATTAAATTCAAAGCGAGCTATCATAACTTATGATCCATGCCAGGAGAAGTATAAAAACAAAGGGATGAGGTAAGGAGGGAAGCTTTTAAATAATTCCTGGTGAAAACATGAAGTATCAATTTGAAGCAAGTCCGCATGCATGGTGCATGTCATACCTGTGTTTCCAGGAGACAATTTTGACTTCTTTCAGTTATGGACTAGGTAACTGTTTCCTGGACAGTGTCATGGTAGCTGAGTTGCAAAGGAATCAGATGCTGTAACGAAGTAATAGTTCGCGAAAAGAGAGATATGACTGCTCTTTGCATTGCTTTCAAGTTTAGATGGGTCACAGCGGATATGTCGTTAATGTGAGCTGGGCATTTCAGGTAATAAATTAATGCATTTTCTTCAATAAGGCGAGAGATATAAACTTCGTGACTTCCGTCCAAATGAACGTCGGCCAACCCGTAGGTGATATGAAGGAAAATCGGCGGACACAGCGACGTGTAATTACCCGTAACAAACACAATAATCCCAGGTCAATGTTGTTGTTACGTTTGGGGTAGTATCCTACATCGCCGTTGCTTGACCCCGACGCCCACACGTTACAAGACATGTTCACCCTTATCGATCGCCCCGAGCGGCCGACCTCGAATAAAGGGCTGCACCGGACGAGCACGGTCGCATCGATCGACTGGCGCCGCGCGGCCCCACGCTGCACGTACCACGTCCGAGTAGTGGTCGGAGGGCAGCGGCGGGTAATCACAGCTCTCGATCTTCTTGCAGAGAGAGTAGAGCGTCATCTTCTCGCCGAAGAACGGTGACTGTAGCGCGGCCATCTCGTACAGCAGGCAGCCCAACGACCAGATGTCCGACTTGAAGTTGTAGCCTCGCTCGTGGATCCGCTCCGGCGACATGTAGTACGGCGTGCCCACCAGCGTGATCAGCTCCGTCGTGCACGTGCTGTCCGGCCACGACAGAGCACCGGTCACGCCTCAGTACGCCACAGGACGACCGATCTGAGCTTGATCGTGTGGGCTACGGCGCAGTCTGCCTTACTTGCGAAATGTTGGTGGGCACCCTCCAGGCATGCATCAGGAGCAATGCGGTCACCCTCAAACACGCGCCCGGGTGGCCAGCTAAATAAGCCGCGCTCGGATGCAGGAGGAGAGGTCAATTTAACACCCTGGGATGTAAAAACTGGGAGAGATAGAGAATCCAGATTCATAGGGTAGGTAAGGCTCTATGTGAGCCCGTTTGTGTCAAAAGTGTCAATAATTAGGTTGTGACGTTCGGATCAATTCAGGTGAAACAACGTCAAGCCCTTTGACCGAAGTGCTCGTAGTGCTTCACGCAACAATCGTAAACCTAGATACCACATTGCAAGCAAAATGTCCCTGGGATTCATGTCAGGTCAGTCACATGATTTGACCTTTAGAATGTAAAAATGACTAAACCCCTGTAGGTTTATTTCGAATCTACAATTGACGCCAAGTACTACCAAAGCTCCTAGCACTACCATGCTCCTGATGGCAAAAAAATGACTAGGGTCATCTTAGGTCAGGTACCTGCTCTTATCTTCATGAAGTCAAAATAAGGAAACGTTTGCCGTCCTTGTGATGTGCGAATTCAAAGTGAGTGTCACAAAGTGTGATAATGAACTCCATACCCGACCAAAGGTGAATGAAATTAATCGTAATCCTAATTTCAATAGTTTAATTGTCTAAGAAGCCATATCAAAATTGTATGCCCTCGTATAACACTACGTCGTCGCATCAAATTGGACGACTTCCTAGGATTTTTTCGCTAACAGCCACGGCCTGATTGTGGTCTGCCATAGGTCATAGGTCAGCCATAGGTCAGCAACCTTGCAAGGTATATGTTATTGTTACATCAAAAGATTGGCTAGTTAAGTGCTTACAGTTCTACAAAGTTTAGCGTGGCTGCATCGCGCGGTGTGGACTTTTATTAACCTTCGAGATTGAAGTTGACCTCCACTCAAGCGAGTGTGTTAAAGGCAATTCGACAATGGCCAGTGAGTAAAAACAATCAATGGCGTGTGCAAGTTATGGCATTTCAAAATATTAGCGTTATTTACACCACATTGTGCATTTGCATCAGCCATTCGAACGGTGAGCATTCAGATTTATGCAGTATTGGAGAGGTCCCATCTTTCCTGTCGAATAGAATAACTATTGCATTTTGTGATTGCGTACTTTTATCTCGTGTACAATATTTTGAAGAGGCAAAAGTAAGTGCATAGTTAAGAGTATTAGTGCACGTCCATCATCACCCTATTTGTGTGTTTTGTTGTGTTCAGGAAAATGTTCAAAATTAACAAGTTATACGAATGCTCAATTTAGAGGCATATGGGATGACGAACTTAAGAATGCTCAACACGCGCCTGGATGGCCGGGTGAATATTCTTCTTTCAGGTACGGGTCAATTTGATTCCTCTGAAATCTCAAATTCTAAGAAAGCCAGAAACATCAAATTCACAGGGTTCCGTACGTGAACTCACTTGTATCAAAATTTGGGGTTTATAGGTTACGGCATTGGGGTCAAATAAGGTTAAATAAAGCCAAACTCAAGATTGGTAATCTAAGTACTCTGGGACCTCATACAACCGCCCTGAACCTAGATACCTGGTCTAAACTAAAGGTCATCTGGTGTTCGTTTTAGTCAGTACCCTTGTTTGACCTTTAGAATGTCGTGGTGACCAAAAACCTATGAAATTGCTTTCAGTTTTGAATTTGGCTAAGCGATAGGGATTAATTTGGGCGGTACGTTCCTAAAAGCAGAACGTTGATCGGGATCATTTGAGTTCAGTAAATTACTCTGACTTTTACGAAGTCCATGAAAGATGTCTGTTGTGGTCCCCATTATCAAGAAATTCTAATAATCACCAGCATATATCCATGAAGCAGGATCTCTAATAAAAAGCAGCTTGATTTTGACCTCGGTCTGACCTTCATACATACCGCTAGGGCAATGAGATTTGTTGAAATCCTTAGCTCAATTACTCGTTGCCTAGGAAACCATCTCAGGGATGCATGGCTTCATCTAAGTCTCTGTTTTTGCACCAGACTGGACGGTTCCATAGAAATTACTTTTACTGAGAGCCACAGCCTGACTTTTACCGACAAAAGATCAGCGACCTTGCAAGGTGCATCTAATTTTTATACCAAGCGATCTGCTATTCATTCGCCTACAGGTGTGCATAACTTGGCGCAGTTACACCACACCGTTCGAAAATTATGTCGTAAAAACCTTCGGGGTTCAAACTGACCCCATCCGAGCGCGTGCTAAGCGTCTATCCTGTGTTAACCATAAACCTTAGGTCAGGACAAGGACCCACGCAAAAAGTTACTAATAGAGGATAGCCTTTGCTTTTCACGTGGAGCCAATATCCTTCGATCCATTCCGGTCAATATTTCAAAAATATATTTGTGCACATGTGCGTATGTATGCATGCATATTTGTATGTATATATGCATGCATATGCAATGGATTTTGTTTTCGACATCTGTCATCGATAACAAAAGCAATTTCGTGGTCGTTTCAGTTTTTGACTGTATTGGCTATAAATGCGTGTTTGCTGGGGACTCAGGGATTTAATGCGTTGTCCAAGAGAAACAATTGTTGTAAAAGTTCACAAAATGCGTCCAATTCAATTATGACTGCCTATAAGGTGTTCTGACTTCCGGCCCGTGGTTTGTATGCACAACGATTGCAGTCATAATTCACACACAGACTTCATTAATAGGAGCAACCAACTGAACCGGATGCTCCTCACTTCCTTTCGTGTGCATAGCCTTGCATGTCAATTGCTTCTTCTGAACAGCTTATTTGTTTGCCTACCCCTGACCAAAGGTTCCGCGTATAAAATATATTGTGCAACCAAATGGATCAGCAATGATGGAAACTGTCATCACTTTAAAAGAGAGGAGACAGAGGGAGGAGAGGAATCCAGACGCGTCAACAATGTCTGCCCGCCGTACGACGTCCGTCCACTGACGTTTGACTGCCATACTTATTAAATCAGATCCGATGTTAGCTGCAAAATGACGGGATTCTATATTCTACGTTTGGGCAATTTCGAAAATATTCTGTGGCCACACATTGGTGCTCCAAATTGTCAAATGTACTCAACGCCACGGTGTGACTTTGATATGTTATGCAATCCGCTTCAAGGTGATTAACTACACGGCCTCACATTCGCCAGGTGCACTGATTCACAGAGCACACAGGGGTTTACCCGGCACACCAGATGTTTACGATCTTTCAATGTCACTTGACGCAGAGGTTTGAGGGTTCGTCAGGAGGGTTCTTACGTTGTCGGTTGTCGTAAAGCAAGCAAAAATGTGAATATTGACATGCAAAGAGCTTCGCTTAAGATCATCCCCGGCGGACAGGCTTCAATAACTATTAGTATAGCTGCCATGACCATAACATAACTATCCATAACATAACATAACTATTCAGTGGGATGGCTCGCCAAACAGTCAGGGGACAAAAATGTGAGATTCCGGGCATCAGGGTGAAAAATGATCAGCCGTGAACAGTTCTTCATATTCACCAAATGTGACGATTAGCGAAACATTCTTTTTTCAGCGAAATCGCCCACTATCTGGCTAACAACTCTCGGCTCAGTGAGAGGGAGAAGGCGGGACATGGCCCCCTTACTCCCCCATTGGCGTCGTCCCTGTCTTCAGTTAAAGCGACTCTTTTGGCAAATGAGCGAGGAAGAAACAGGTATCCGAGCAGGAAAAAAACATTATAAATAAACTACACTAGACGAGAGCGAACGGTGAGTAATCAACATCAATAAAGACTGAATTGTACCTATATTAATACTTCCATGAGTCGAAGGCCACCATCACGGCCGAGATAATGTAGGAGACTCTCACCTGAAATACCGGCCCAGTCCGAGATCTCCCAGCTTCACAACTCCCTCCCCTGTCACGAACACGTTCGCTGGCTTGATGTCTGGAATAAACGTTTAATGTTAGAGCGTTACGTCGTGCTCTCACGATTATCGCTACACATACCCCACGTCAAGAGCAAGAAGGAACTAAGCATGAATGCTGGTAGGAAATGAGTTTAACCTGAGGCACAAGCGCTTTACTGCACACGGCCCCAAGTCCAAAGGCAATGCGATATGATAGATGGTAAATCTGGCTTTGGTGTGCGGCCGTCCCAGCATGCATGTCCTGCACCTTAGACGGTGTCACCGTCTGGATACAGGGCAGTTTGAGAGACGTCGTACACTGACCTTCACCCGCAAATGTGTGCGCACATGAGCTGTGATGCACAAGCGTGGCACGTGTATACGCCAACCGTCTCTCCGTGTTGACATTTCTGTTAATAACACGCCAGAAGGCCTAATTTTGTCAGCACAGAAAATCGGATGTTTACATTATTGGCGGATTGGAGAGCTGCATTCGGGTAAAACTGCAATGTCGGGGGAAGCAGTTTTACTGCAAGCCCAAACTCATATTCGAGTAACTCTGCCAAAATCTGCCGAGTATCAGCTTAAATTTTAAAAAGGAGCAATTCTACAGTTGTAAAAAGGCTTGAAAGGATTGCGTCACTTGTTAAAAACCATGAAACCATGAAAACCATGAAAACCAAAAACAAAGCGTTGCGGTCAGCCGTCGTCAGGACATACGCCCGTGAAAAGCATGACTGCTGGGACAGAACATTGAGGCCATTAAGTTTGCGGCCAGCTGATGTTAAGACCAGCTTGACCTGGGACACAAGACAGCGCGGGGAGCCGCGATAAGGAGGAAGATTGCGAGGAACACAGGGATGCGCGTCAGCTTGCAAGTGGAGGTGAAGTCTTGATTGACGACGTCCATGCGTACATCTGTTTAGCGGCCCTGTCCCACAGGCGGCTCTGCCGGCAGCAGCAGCGCTGCGGCCCGGCCGCTGGGCCGTCCCCGCTCCCAGCCTCACCCCGGTGCATGATCCGCTTGTTGTGCATGTGCTGCAGCGCGCTGCACACTTGCGTGAAGTACTTCCAGATAGTGCGCTCTGGGATGAGCCGCTTTTGCGTGCGGAAGTGTCGGATCATGCGATGCAGGTCACCCGCATCCGCCACCTCCAGCACTATGTTCAGCTCGTTGTCCTCGATAAACGAAGCCAAGTACTTGATGATGTTCGGGTGGTTGAGTTGCTGCAATCGGAAAAGGGAATGGGCAGTCAGTGTCACGTTCCGAGAATTGCAGTCTGCGAAAGATTCGTGGTGTAGTACACATGATACGCACATGTGTATATATATATATATATATATATATATATATATATATATATATATATATTGTCGTTATCGCGTGGGGCATGACGTGCCATGTCAATAAACTTAACAAGCGCCCGGGTGGCCGGCTAGATACCCTTCGCTCGGGTGGGGGTCAATTTGCCCACCCCCTGAGATCTCAAGAACTAGGAAAGCCAGAAATACCAAATTTACAGGGTGTGTTGACCTGTACGTGAACTCACTTAAGTAAAAGTTTTGGGTTCCTAGGTCATGACTTTCGGGTCAAAAAAGGTCAAACAAGGTCAAGTTCCGGGTTGGTTTTCAAAGTGCTCCAGAACCTAGATAACAGGTTCTAACATTCAAGGTCAGTAACCTTGTTTGACCTTTTGAAGGTCAAGGTAACCAAAACCATACAAGATTGCGTTGAGTTTTGCATCTGACTAAGCGACAAAGATTACGCTAGGCAGTACGTTCCTAAAACAAAATGTTGGCCTTGGTCATTTCAGGTCAATGACCTATTCTGACCTCTGGGAAGTCCATGGAAGATGTATAATGCGGTTCCTGTTATCAATAAACTCGAAATGAACACCAGAAACTATCCCATACAGCAAGCCCCAGAGTAACAAAAGAGGTTGGTTTTGACCTTGGTGTGACCCTCACACCTGACCTTAGGTCAATGTTATTTGCTCATTTAACTGCTGTTCTGCCTAAGAAAGCATCTCAGAGATGTATGGCTTCGTCTAACACTCCGTTTTTTGGATCAGATTGAAGGATTCCCTAGGAATTGCCTTCGCTGAAACCATGGCCTGACTTTGAGCTGTCATAGATCGGCGACCTTAAAAGGTACATCTAAATTTTTAAAGTCAAACAATCCGCCGTTCAATTTTCTACAGGTATGCAAAATTTGGCGCGGCTACGCCGCGTCGTTTGGAAACCGTTCTGGAAAAGCCTACGGGGGCGGCAATTTGACCCCCACCCGAGCGCATGTTAAAGCACGTGTGCAGCGTCACATCGTAAAGCCCTGCAACTATGGCGGGCGACAGAGCGTACGTCACTTGATCTCGCCGACTCCACTGCGTAAGCTGCAACAGAGATGTCACAACAGCAGCTCATTCAACGCCCTCACCACCTTTAAAGCCTGACCAATCACAGTATCATCACGCGCTGATTGTCGGTGGGGAGGACAGAACCTAGCTGGGCGTCCCCTGTCGAGTCTCTCACGTTCATGCCTCCGACGACCAGCTCCTGACCAATCACAGTATTATCACGAACTGACTGTCGGAGAAGGAGGACAGAGCCTAGTCGCCTGTCGAGTCTCTCACGTTCATGCGTCCGACAACCAGCTCCTGACCAATCACAGTATTATCACGAGCTGACTGTCGGAGAAGGAGGACAGAGCCTAGTCGCCTGTCGAGTCTCTCACGTTCATGCGTCCGACAACCAGCTCCTGAACAATCACAGTATTATCACGAGCTGACTGTCGGAGAAGGAGGACAGAGCCTAGTCGCCTGTCGAGTCTCTCACGTTCATGCGTCCGACAACCAGCTCCTGAACAATCACAGTATTATCACGAGCTGACTGTCGGTGAAGGAGGACAGAGCCTAGTCGCCTGTCGAGTCTCTCACGTTCATGCGTCCGACAACCAGCTCCTGAACAATCACAGTATTATCACGAGCTGACTGTCGGAGAAGGAGGACAGAGCCTAGTCGCCTGTCGAGTCTCTCACGTTCATGCGTCCGACAACCAGCTCCTGAACAATCACAGTATTATCACGAGCTGACTGTCGGAGAAGGAGGACAGAGCCTAGTCGCCTGTCGAGTCTCTCACGTTCATGCGTCCGACAACCAGCTCCTGAACAATCACAGTATCATCACGACTGATTGTCGGAGGAGGAGGACAGAGCCTAGCTGAGCGTCCCCTGTCGAGTCTCTCACGTTCATGTGTCCGACGATCAGCTCCTGAACGATGTCGGGCAGAGGAAATGAGGCGGCGAGCTCATTGCGTGGTCGACGAACCATCGTTCCGGGTGATCGTTCACCAGTCACGCGGCGAGAGCATGCCGAAATGCCCAAACTGAGTGGTTCGGGTCACCTGACGCGTTCCCGTTGATCGTGACTCCCAGGCCTGTATCCACCGGCAGCTCTTGTTCATCAAATCTTGGACGCGAACGTTCACGTAATCGTGGGTTGCCTTTCGACTGTTAATGCACAGTTGTGTGCATTAAGCAAGTCTTGAAATCAAACTTCTGTGTGGTGTTTTAGCAAAAATGCAGCGGGGCAACAGAGCTCATCGGCATTGTGGATGCGGACGGACATATTCACCGTAGATGTTGAGGGATATTAGTGGAAACTAGAATAGAGGAGGATATAGGGGTGACGTGGGTAAATAGGATTTACATGGAGCAAAGCCATCCTGGGTAAAACTACCTGCTGTTAAAGCATAACGTTGACAAGCTCAGTCAGGTCAGATCAACTGTGGCGAGATTGTAAAACAGATTGGCAATATTGAAACCTGGCACATGACATACATCTCTACCATAGGAGATTCGGAGCTTCAGCAATATGGTGTACGTAACGTAATGTGGGCGGTCAACGTAGTAAGTCTGCATTTATCCATTGCCACGCATTTACGTCAAGACGTGAAGCCGGATTGCTGAAAATGAGTTAAGTGAGATGCATCGTGCAAGGTATAATTATATCCAGATCGATTGTTACGTGACAAAGGCATATCGCGGTTCCTCCAGTGCTCATGAAAGAAGTAGAACACAGATACATCGTGGAAATAACTGAATATCCACAAACGTGCCTTATTTGTGTTCAGCTGACGGCTGCGGGTAAAATAACCTGGAGTGAAGATAGCTTCGAAGTTATTTCACTTCAGCATTGATCTAGATGATCTTTTTAGGGGCGGAGTTTTCACTTAAGCTTTTGGCTGGCCTTAGCCCCACCAGTAATTTTGGAGAAGCTCCACCCATGGTTTTTTAATTGATTTTCCGGTGGGTGTTATCTTAGAAATTCAGCGAAATCGACTGACAGGCTTGCTTAATGAGGGCTGGGGGTTATGATAGTTTTTGGCATTGCCCCCCAGTGACAATTCCTTATCCGAGGCCCTGGTAGGATCTGTATATGATCATAGACCCCTCGAGTCTCGCAGTCGAGAACCAACGTGCGGGGCCAGCGGGTTCCCCTTTGAAGGTCAGCAGGGGCCCTTTCACCGGCCAGTCAGGGTCTCACCCAGAAAAAAACCAACGGACGGTGCCTGAAGAGGAACGACGTCCGTGCGTTAGCGATTACTGGCAGCGCGTACCGCCACTCGAGCCAGGACAACCAGAGGCACGATATATGTATGTGTCAGGACACGCCTACGACACTGGGTCGGCATGACACCGTGGCGTTTGCGCTGTCCATACACAAAAGGCGATGGGCAGAACAGCGACGCACCAAATATTTGCCTTCTAGGTGGCAATGAGCAGGCAAACTCACGTTGGGTTTTCTAGATGGATATCGATTTAGAAACCGCATATCGTTCTAGCCAGTCACAGGCAATAAGACATGACGTACGACATGACATGATAGGACAATAGGACGGACAACAATGAAATAAAATGCACGTGGCAACGCAGAGCGAGGCAGTTGCTGTTACCATGCCAGTTGTTAATCGCAGTTCGCAGTTCTTAGCATGCTTCATTCCTAAGAGCGCAATCCATCGATTGCGTCTGATTGGTCAGAACGTACGGAGCGCTCGATAAAAACGCAACGTCTGCAGGGCTGCGCCGGACGCATAAACAGCGTGTCCCTGTTGTCTGAGGCTATGCACGTGCGTCTAACACGTCCGTGGGCAAAAGAACTAACAATAATACGCGGAAAACAGAACGGCTCCCCAGCTCACGATTTCATACCGAAATTATGTCGAGACGTCAGCATGCGAACGACATCAGTTCGGTTTGCGGCGTCCTACCATACCTGCAGCAAGTTGATCTCCTTCATACAGTCCAGCCGCGCCTTGGCGTCCGTCATCTCGAAAATCTGCACCTTCTTCAGCGCCACTGACTGCTGGTTCACCTTGCATCTGGCGACAGAGACGCACGGCCGTCATCAGAGCTGTCGGCACAGGCGAGACGTCGTCGAGCGCCGTCCTCGCACGGATCGTGCGCTATCTTTCATGTCAGATGGACAAAAAGCCAACATCGGGAGATATCTTCTGTAACTTTCACGCGTATGCACTGCGTAAGCACCAAGTATGTGCTTACGCACGGCATGCACGTGCGGTGTGAATGTATTTCAAAATGCGACCTAATATCATGTTGTCTACTCTATGCAAGCTAGCGAAAGCTAGTAGTGTCGCACCAGGAAATTATTTTCGGTGATAAAGAGAAAAGTGCCAGCAGCCACTGGAGGTACTCGAATGCCACTCAGATTTATGTTGCGTTGATGGAGGCCTCTGTGTCGGCGAGGACAGTTACATTGGTCAGGCATCATCAATACTGAACAGTCTGTCCCGTGTCAGTCTGGGCCTAAGGGCACATTTCCCAAACAGGGAGAACCCGGGCCCTAGATTTACATTGGTCCCTGAGTCAATGAGGACCCCTGTGTAGGCCAAGGACACCCAGTGCCTAACCGCGGTTTTTGCTGGCAAGGGGTCCGAGTGAGCCAGTGAGCCTTGAAGGGGCCTGAATGAGGCCCGAGGGAAAACCTAAGTGAGTCCAAGGGCTGCTCGAGACCGACGATCAAGGGTCTCATTGGAAAGCCAAAGGGCCCGTTGTATGTCACATTTAAGGGATTGTTCCACATTTGTATGGAGTTTGGAACAGAGCTAGTCATTTTCAAGATCATTTCCTGCAGTGTATAGTTATGCCTTTTTTACTGCTTCAAATCCCCTTATTTTCCAGCTAGATGTACGTGAACTTATGACGCTTTTTCGCGCCGCCTAATTTGAGGCTACATTGACAGAACGGCAGCATGAATCGATGAGCCAGAGGACAGCGTGTGGCTTTTAAGAGTCTTACGTGTCAAATGCAAGTTTCGAACACGAATCATGTTTTGTGGTCCACAATGCAGCAATTTGAACAGCCTTCCTAGTTATGACGGGAATGGGATTATGATTCAAGTAGCTTAAGAAACGTGCCGTAACCGAGAATGCGAATGCAAGTAAGAAATACAAAATCGCGGACAAATTGGCCAGAATGCTACGAGAAAGGCCCAAAATACGCGCGTATAACGACATTCGATCAAGTACACATACATCGATTCGCCGCGGTGTCCGCCCTTCCCGCCAGGGTGAGAGATAAGCGATGCCATATAGCCTTGCAGCTGAGTGCGTCGTGAAGTCCCAGTGACAAAGTACATACACATCAGTTAACAAGCCACCTCTTGGCGAATTGATATACTACAAGTGAGTCAGCCCAGATCAGTTAAGTCAGCCTGTCCGCTGCGGTGGCAAGTCTGACACGGCTAGGCTGGCAGGGACTCTGACGCCATAAAAACACTGCATGACGTAATCAAAGGATGGCGTATCGAGGGGCACATTTAGCTAAATAGTGATATGTTATTCTACGCAGCAGTCTTTTATACTGAAAAGAACACCGATAGCCACCAGGGAGCTTTTCCGGACGGAAATTTCGAGGCTATTGAATAAAGGAGAGAACATAGCGGTGGGACAGACATACAAGCACGTGCGAGTCCATCCCCGAGATTCCAGATGAACGGGGCGTCGCGAAGATTCAGGAGAAAGGAAACAATAAGGAAGACACACACACACACACATACACATACACATACACATACACATACACACACAACACACACACACACACACACACACACACACACACACACACCACACACACACACCAACACCACACACACACACACACACAACAACACACACACACACACACACACACACACACACACACACACACACACACACACACACATCACACACACACACACACACACACACACACACACACACACACACACACACACACACACACACACACACACACACACCACACACACACACACAGCACACACACACAGCACACACACACACACACACACACACACACACACACACACACACACACACACACACACACACACACACACACAACACACACACACACACACACACACACACACACACACACACACACACACACACACACACACAACACACCACACACACACACACACACACACACACACACACACACACACACACACACACACACACACACACACACACACACACACACACACACACACACACACACACACACACACACACACACACACACACACACACACACACACACACACACACACACACACACACACACACACACACACACACACACACACACAACACACACACACACACACACACACACACACACACACACCACACACACACACACACACCCACCACACACACCACACACACACACACACACACACACACACACACACACACACACATATATACATATATACACACACACACACTACAGTCATCAACAAACCTCACCAATATATATATATATATATATATATATATATATATATCACCTGTTTGCCGTGACAGTCTACCTAGGTCTAGCGGCATTCTGCCATCCGCGGACAAACAAAAATCCGTCCGACAATCATTGGTTGGTAGATGGGACTATCGCAATATTGCCCACCATAAACACAGGGCAAATGTACCACAAAACACGCACAGCTCTCGCACAATAGCATAATACGTTCAGCACACAACAGTTCTCAGTAACCATCTATCGGCGACCCACTCATCGCAGTGTACACATCGCGCTGCTACAGTAGGTACAGTACAGGCGGTGCTTCAGTAGGTACAGTACGGGCGCTGCTACAGTAGGTACAGTACAGGCGCTGCTACAGTAGGTACAGTA